ACCTACAGTTTAGAAACAGAAATTCATCAAGTTGTTGGTTCACAACTCCATTAGAAGACCTGATTTACCATTTTACACCAGGGTTGACCACCAAAAAACCATCATAAAAAAATGCCATGTTGATAATCTTGATATAATTGGGAAGCTCTTAGTATCCTAGCTCCTTGGCTCGGAAAACAGCTTGGCCTCGACGGAAGGCGCCTTCCAAGATGGCTTTGCTCACGTACCTCAGGCAAGCTGTGACAAGGCCCATGGTCAGGGCACCGAAGCTTTCCCCCACACATTGGTCACTCAAGATGGCATTTTTTTGCTCCAAAAACCATCCACACCTTTACAATCTTTACACCTCTGTGCATTTCTCCTACAGTACATCCGCAGTTTATTCAACATGGCTAGCGATGGATCGCCAGGGTGCACATCGCGACCATAGGCCTGGGATGTTTCAGCACAGGAGATGAAGCCATAGTCGTTCCCTGGCGGAAGGGTACTGATGCCATCTGCCCCCGTCACCTATAGATGTGAATACATTGACAAGAAAAAAAACGTCGTTTCTATGCTTGGATCAATCGCCAAGTCAGAAATGTGTGTAATTCTCTTACATGTGGATGTAAAGTCAAATTGCTTAAACGTTATAAACCCATATAAACCCGAGGTAAGTATGGCAAGGAGTTTCTTACCTCGTGTGCAAATGGCTTAACTTCGGATATTCTCCTTAAGTAGGACTTTATCTTCAAAACACGTTGAGCCCTTAGTACTCTCTGGTAAACCAACATAGTTATGGCTATGGAAAACCACGATATCTTTAAGTTCGGTAAATTAACTATTTCAAAAAAAAACATGTTCAATGGATTTCAATGGCAAACTGTTAGTCATTACCACAGAGTCCCTAGAAAACACTATTAGTCACTATTAATCCATAGTAATCCTTGCGACCATGACCGTCCCCGTGGTCCCCGTGCCTATAGACTTCAAGATGCCCTTGAAACGCCTGAATGTTCCACCTGGAGGTGAGGTCGAAAAATTGGAAACTGGGAATTGGAAATTCCAGTTTTTCCGGAATTCTTAGGAGTTTCCATTGAATTAGTCATTAGATGTCATTAGTATCCATTGAATTAGTCATAATTAGTCATTCGTATCAATTGGAATTGTGTTGTGGGAAACTGTGAACGGACACTGTTTTAGCATCCATGGAAATAGAACTCGCAGAATTTCCCCATCAATTCTGAAGGAAGATGAATGAAGCAGGGGCAATGATGGGAGCCACATGACCCTGATCATCCCTGATCGCTACTACCCGACGACCCCCAAGATAATAATTATACCTTGACACTTGTGAAACATGGGCAACTCTTGGCCAATCAGCAAACATAAACAGCAGCATGTTCAAACCAGTAATATCTATTGAATCAATCGGTGTTTCCTCATCCTGGGTAAATCCATAAGCTTTGATACAGTGACCCCCAGCAACAAGCTGGCTAGACAATCGCCAGAAAAACACCTAGCCATCAATTGCAGGAAATCATGGTTCTGCGCTGCAAATTGGAGGTTCCTCTTACTTCCAACCAATCCTGAGAACCTGCGATTTCTACAAAATCAAGGGGTTCCAACCACTAAAGTCACGGTCACTAAACATCAATCAACATTGACATCCCAATCCCATAGGATCCATGGTGCTGCCATACATGGTAACATTTACCATCCATATACCCCAGTCATGTTAGCATATATACCAGCACCATGGATCCTATGGGAATTGCCCAATCCTCAACAAACCTTCACAAAAACCGTCGCTAAATCAACCGCTTCAAGGCGCAAGACTTGCAGTTCATCATCTCCGTCGCCGCATTGGGAGCGCCACAGGCACTGCAATGCCTCAGGCCCTGCGACCCTGCCGAGCTTCTCCCTTTTTTTCCGCATGAAAAAAAGGTGGGCCAAATGCCAAACATTCAATTGGGAAATCCATAAATCCACGTTTTCAATGGATCTTTTAGAAGGAAAATTTATCTATGAAAACTATGGAGCTCCATATGCCTTCTGTATCTATCCCAAGGGGCTTTTTTCGTCAGGGATGCCGAGAAACCAGGGCTCCTCTCTCTTGACCTCCAGAGATGGTTCCTGGATCCACCGAATCGGATCCAACTTTCAGAGTCTCAAGTTTTGCACCATCCAATGTCGGTGAAGAATTTTGATCCATACCTGTGACAGGTTACCCTCTGGTAAACTAACAGTTTGCTATGGAAAATCACTATTTTTAATGGGTAAATCCACTATTTCTATGGCCATTTTCAATAGCTATGTTAGTTTACCAGAGGTTATACCTGTAGGTTAAGTTTTTAGCCGATGTCAATGATTGTTCGAGAATACTCAGCATGTCATTGAAATATATATTGAAATGTTGATATATGTTTTTTGAAGGTCCCACTAGCCAGCATACATGTGCAAGTGTGCACAGTATACACCACCCTTGAAACCTAACATGGAATCCCTTGATAAGCAACGTTAAGGAGTTAAGGCCATGTTTTATATCCAATCACCTACACGTTAGGGGGTCGTCATTCCAACACGAAAAGCTACAACTCAGGATTGTTCATATTCTTCTTTCCGAATGGTGTTTCTCTAACATTGACAAACATTATTCAGGCCATCTTTGGATGCGAAGTGACTTTCGCAACGCCAAAAACCTGGGGTTTCTTTTAGGCCCTCGCTGTCCTCACGCCGTAACTTGCATCCCAAAGGCCCCACGCCACCGCAGCGATCGTTGCCAGCCTCAAGGGCCCCAGGGGTTGGCATCCTGGGGGATATTCCCATTTGGTTCACCAAAAATGAAGGTGTTCATTGACTCTTATATTTTGTTCCTGGGTTGGCAAAGTCAATGAACACCTTGATTTGATATACTCTCTGGTAAACATACAAAAAAAACTATTGACTAGCTAGTCAGTTTAGTTGATTTACCCATTAAAATGATTTAAAATGTGATTTTCCAAAGTTATGTTAGTTTACCAGAGGGTAGTGCTTTATCATCAAGAATTGGATTCTGTTGGGTAGTTGCCTCCTGAAATTTGACATGGAACCTCGTCAACATGTCATGTTTGATGAGCAAACAAAATCTCCCGGCAGCATTTTTTTGGAGATATGGTTTGCTTGATATCTCAAGCAAGTTCTATATAATGGAGGCTGTTCAAAGAAGGTTATTAACCCAGAAGACTTGGGGGTGGCAACACTGGGATGTCCCTGCCCCGAAGCTCACATTGAACCCTAGACCTTTTAAAAGAAAATCATCTCTGATATTTTTACCAGTGCCCCAAAATGTCCCAAGCAAACTGAGGTCAGCTGCGTGGTTCTTCCATCCGCAGCCTTGGCGACGAACAACGACGATCGACGTGTCAGGTGGCTGTTCCTTTGGGACAATAGGCCAATGGCCAATCCAACATTTTTTTCAGGTGGATGATAGTGGAATTCATAGGGACTGAAATGATGGGACCTTCATTCCCAGAATTTTCCCATCTCTCTCCTTGTTTCTTATGGGAGTTTTAATTCCTATGGACCAAACTTGATCTATGCTGGCCAAATTCCCTTTGAATTTGCAAATTTGCATATATTCGAGCAGAAGAACATTGAAAGAGGTGCCAAGCATGGCCGGCTAAGCCACCTTGTTTAAGTATACGCACTTTTCATAACATGCGATACCAAAAAAAAACAAGCGCAGGGCCCGTCAAAAATAATAAGAGGCCCTAACCCCAAATCGGTATGAGTCAAAATTATCAACCTCACAAAGACTTGGATGCATTGACGATGTCATAAACTTGAAAAAAGGTGTTGCTCATTTCATAAGCTAACTTCAATAATGTGGGTAAAACAATAATAAACCATCCCCCAGTCATCACCATTTTTATAGGTGGTATGTTTACCATTCCCAGTCATGGGTGGGTTGTTTTAAACACATTAATCATCCATTAATCACAATTCATCACAATTAATCACAATTAATCACCATTTATCACCAATAATCATCATTAATCATCATTAATCATCATTAATCATCATTAATCATATATATATAATATATAATATAATATATAATATAATATATAATTCCCGACATTTCTGTCCTCCCATTTGACCCCAAAATGCTCTGACCCATAGCCTGACCCATCCCACCTTGAACGTCTCCAAGGGACTGCCACAAATCCAGGAGCCGGTCAGAGCGGGTGTCAATTCCAGGGCTGGTGTAGGTGAGCCTTCGATCTGGGGACCCAGACTAACTATGGCTTGGCACATCTTAATATGAGGGTTTTATACTATTAGAATACGATTAGATATAGTGACTAGAGTCAAAAAAAAAAAAACTAGAAACTTCATGTATCACGATTTCAGTGGGATTTTGTCACTTTTCTCTGGGGATGACCTTTGGACCTATAGGATATACAAACTTGGCCACCTCACTGAATCTATGAGTTCATGCCACATATCCCAATGGGATGAAGTGGTTCAAGACCAGGTATGTTTTTGTTAGCCCATTTTTGAATGGGATGGTCCCCAAGCATTAAGAGTCTTTCAGGGTTGCAACTGACGTGCCAAGTAGGATACACATCCAAAAGGTGGGAAAAGGCTTGTATTGCACTGGTGGAGATGATATGCCAACAAACGAATATTGAAGAGGCAAATTTTCTTAGACTTTAGTTGGCTGTGTAGGACGAAGGAACATGACAACCATCAAAAAACGTGAAACCTCTTCGTCAAAAAGAGGTGGGTTGCATGTGATTTGGGACTTTTAACCAAGAAAAATGGGAAAGCATCCATCAGAAAGAAACACATGCACAAACAAAGGGAATCGTACCTGCAATCCAGATTGGTTTTGTTTGATGAAACGTGCAGGTTTTTTTGCGTTTCTTGATAATTAAGCCCCCAGTTGGTATTGGATGTACGTCCCCAAATGTCATCATCAAAATTCAGGTTTTCACATGCACGCAGAACGGTAGTTTTTGTTGCTATGATGTTCAATGTCCACATGAAAACCACGAATAAAACCCTCATTTGCTATAGTCACCCATTTGTGGTGCAAAAACAATAAAGCTTTCTTTCAGTGCAAAACAAAAATTTTGATCCAGTTTTGACTGGTTCGAAGTGACCTGCGATCACAATTTTGGCTGGCAAAACCCAGTCAGATTCCTTCATTTACCCACGCAGGGAACCCTCCCACTCAGAAGTTTGTTTATGCTTGCCCCACCCAAGATTTATCTACTACAATCATCAACCCCAGTTAGACTATTCTAAGATAAATTTTCATAAATGAACCATCGTGAATCATAAATGCGGAGGATCAGATATAGGATAATATATCATATCAATTCTTATCATTAATTAATGTCAATTACATTTAATTCTATGACTATTGGAGGAGTATCCCCCTCATTAATAAACCATGGTTTATTAATACGGGGTTGACGTTACATATACGTTACATCATATTACATCTATTTTTCTACCTGCAAGGTACACCTCCCAGCTACTCAGAACTCCATGGACCCTGGGTGGCGCCTTCCCCAGGCCCCGTGCCGCCCGTGCCCTCGGCACTTTCTGCCGCGGCGGCGGCTTCGGCGGCCACGCGGCTGGACTCGAGGTCTGGACGCAGGGCGCGGCAGCCCAAACTTCCTGGGCCAACGATGAATTGAAACCCCAAAACGATGAGTTAAGCATCGCACATTGTGATATATAGATAGATAGATAGATAGATAGATAGATAGATAGATAGATAGATAGATAGATAGGATAGATAGATAGATAGGATAGATAGATGGATAGATAGGATAGATAGGATAGATAGGATAGATAGGATAGATAGGATAGATAGGATAGATAGGATAGATAGGATAGATAGGATAGATAGGATAGATAGATAGATAGATTTAAAATCAACAAAACCTACTTGATGCTTTATTTGTTGATTTCACTGATTTACTGATTTAAGCATCAAAGAAAAGGATTTAACAACATTTAACAACCATGAATTTGATGCATCCCCAAACTGGCTGTATACCCAATGCTTTTGTCTAAGATGATGGACTTTAACCATCTTTAATCAAGGTTAAATCCATCAAAATTCGGATTTAAAATGATTTAAGCATCCAAAGTACCCTCAAGAAACGAGATTCAACCAAACCTAATGGGGACTTACTTATCAAACATAGATCTAACCAATGTGCATCCCAAATAGCAAGGGCTTCATACATATTCACTGATACATGGAACATGTAATCAATATGCAACCTTGGGTAAGACCAAACTATGGGGTAGATTATCGTCCAGTTGCTGACTTGAATGTCAAATCCAAGATGAATGTTAACCTTTCGGCTGTGGATTTTGGGGGGAGCAAATTACCACTTTGTGGTTTGCTGATCGGGGCTTGACATGCAAAATTCATCAAAATTCCATGTCTTAATCAGGTTTGAGAAATTGGGGAAACCACGTGCCCACAACCGTTTATGTGCAGCAAATAAAAAAACATGTGAACATGAAAGAAACTACCTAACTACATGCATGAATATAGCAATTTTCATCTATTTAGCAATGATGAATCAAGATAGTAACAAATCATGAAGGGCAAGCATCTCGAATTGTATCTCCGCATCTAGGGACCAGAGCCACCATCATTGAGTCGAACAACATACAACAATTCCCAATCCAACCGTCGGCAAAGCCGACAGTAACTGGAACACTATCCACTTGTGGGTTTTTCACTTGCTATCAGTTGATCCATCATACCCTCTGGTTATGTCAAACTAGCTATTGAAAATGGCCCATTTATAGTTGATTTACCCATTAAAAATGGTGATCTTCCATAGCTATGTTAGTTTACCAGAGGGTAAAGTTCCAATACACTGCAATTCCAGGGAGCCTGTGCCGCCGCAGCGAGTGTTCCTGGAGGGTTTTTTTGGCCATCATGAGCGCCAGCCAGATTCAACCACCAACTTCCTAGATGTTACTTCCACAAAATGAAGAATCGTATTCCATGTCCTGAAACCGAAGCGATAACAGGAACCCTCAGTTTGTTTCATTGACTGTAACTTCAGCAAATCCACAGTTTATTATGTTTATTGACAGCAACTCTGTCTTAAAATGCTGTTTGTGGTTTAAAACCACTTGTTCACTACTAGCATTTCTACCAGTATCGAACAAATAAGCTAAATGCATCCACATTTCCAGTTAAAAACAAAAAATCGATCAACTATTATCAACTATTCACTTTCACCAGCCCATGTTGCAATCAACTGGATTGCTTGGGGTAAACACCTTACAATTCGATGGATATATGAAAGAACTTCATTCCCATATAGGTGTTAATATTATATACCAGCAATTACAAGCACATGTGCTGTATCAATATGGATCAATACTTTTCCATATGTGGTTGTTTGGCTATAGAAGATTTTTTTTAGCAGTTAGCCGTCCAAGGCGACAATGATATCACAAACCTTAGATTGTTATCACCACCAAAGCCCTTGCTGAATCGTGCACGCATTTCATCGCTGATCATCCCCTGTATCAACATCATACCACAAGTGGGATAATGATAATGGGAAGAAACAAATTTGAACAAATACAGTATCACATTACCCAATACCCAACCATTCATCAGCCGTTCACAAAGGTTCATGACCAATCTGGCCCATGAGCGACGAGATTTCTAGCTGTGTAATATAGTGTACATTAAACTAAATGGGGAACTACCGCCCATAAGACTAAATCAAAATTTTAATCAGTCCCTTTATCTAGACCGATTTACATAGATTTACTATTTTTTGATGTGGAACTAGACATGAAACTACCCCGTGTTTGGCGCAAGTCACGTAGCTCGATTGCGAAAGCCGCAGGTGCACTGCCAGGCGCTGCCAGCCGGAAGGGCTCCTGTGCCCGGCGCCACATGACCAATGCATCGAAAAAATGATGGCAGAAACTCGTTTCAAAGGATTTGGCAGAATGCCTGACCCCATTCCCACATATTCCCACCCATATTCCCACCCATATTCCCACCCAAAACATCAAAACATATTCCCGCCCAAAACATCAAAACATGTTTCAAAAATAGAAAAAATCACAATGGCCACTTAAATCAAACACAATTGGATGACCCCCGTCCTCCATTCATTAACATCTCGCCCGCACTTCTCGGCAAACTGCAGCCCAAATGTCCAGTTCCGCCGCAAGTGCCTTAGCCGGATGGACTCTGGTCATCCCAGCACGAAACTGGGAACGAAACTGGGAAGCCCCTGGGAAGCCCCAGTTTAATAAAAGGCCACGAAACTGGTGGTACGACATCATGTGACCATCGGTATATCATGATAATCATGATATCCAACTGACCATCCCTAATATGGCTTAATATGGGACATTTGAATCTTAATAACCCAACTTTGGACAATAGCACATGTAAAGGTCCTAGGCATCCAGTGCTAGAGTCAGCAGCTGGGCCTAGCGGCTGTTGGAGGGGCGATTTCGGAATCCACAGCGACACATCCATTCCGTGAGCACCTGAACATCCACACACATGGGGCTGCCCCTTGGGGGAGGGTACTTGGGATTGGCTTCGGAATTCCTCTGGATTGAATCTGTTCACCAGAAGGCGTTATGAAACCTCAGCGACTCCTTGTTTTGATCTCTTTCTTTCTTTGACCCTAAGCCGTCGGTATGTTGTTTATGTACTCGGTACTCATTTCAGGACTGGATATCTATCAGGATTCACATATGGGAGCCTACATCAACCAAAAAGAACCCTCTCAGGGGAGCTAACCTCAGACCCCCACATCCATTGTTTGCATTTGTTTGCATCATTGCCTGTGAAATGTCCATCGTTTTCTCGCCCCCTGGCCTCAGTCTGCTCTTCCGGAGGCGCTTCCGGTGCCGCTTCCGGCACCACTGTCTCCACCAGCACCGTCTCCGGCGCTGTCTCCACCGCCGGTGCGGGGGCAGGCGCCGGTGCTGGTGCCGTGGCCACCGCTGGCGGCGACGTTGGCGGAGGGGGTGGGGGCGGTGGCAGCAATTCCTCCATTGGCGCCAAGCCCGGTGGATGTGGTGGACGGGAAATCTCCTGGCAGCTGCTGGATATTGGAAAAGTTCGGGATGAGAGGTCAGCATCAGGTACCCAAAGCTAAAATCTTGAAGTTTGAACTTGGTTGATGTTTATAATTTATCAGAAATTTGTTGTTTCAACATTTTACAGTCGTCATCCGTCGCCGCTCACTTTCCTATAGGAAATTCATTCCATACGTTTTCATGTTTCTTGTGTTCCCCTTGGAATGCATTAATGGTTGCTGCATTCCTTTGTTCAGTGGAATCACTTGTGTTTGTACTTGATGCATTGCCTGCCTGGGATGATCCCTGAGAATATGAAATAGGCAGCACATAAAGCCTATGCCTTGGGTATGACTTGGGTATCGTTTCAAGATATCGCAGTGATACTTGCTTTCAAGCACATCAAGATTCCCAACTTCAGAAAATCCAATTTCAAGTTTGATCCTGCAGAGGTGTCAGCCCCGGCCCCTGATCAACCAAGCCCCCCTTTCTTAACAGGACACCCCAAACAGGGATGCATTTACTGTGGTTAAAATTTGGCAACCCCAAATCTAGAAAGGACTGCATATGGACAAACTATCATCTAAGTTGTCCCACATTCATGCAACCAGCATGTTTTCTACATCGGCCAACATTCTACGAAGTTCCCTTGGCTCCTGGTGATTTTGGTACACCGCCGCAATGGCCGGATCCGCCGCCAGCGGCGCCGGCGCCGGTGCCAGGGTGGGCGACCGACTGGGACGGCTCAGGGGGCCCAGGCCGCCACCATCGCGGAAGCTGTCGAGTAAGCGACGGCTCAAGTCCTGCCGGTTGTGACAATTCAGAACTGGTCCACAAGCTCCATGGCCAATATATCTATACCAAAAACATCTCCCCATGTCCAGTGCCTCCAGTGGATCGAATTGTGGACGCTGAGCCTGAGCCTCGCGACCTGACAAGCTCATAACTTCTTGGGACGCCTCCAAACAACCATTCATGGGTTCTTTATGGGATGTTGTAAGTTTTCAACTGATTTTGAAGCAAGCAAAATAATAAGGTTCTATAGTCAAGGGAAACTGCTTTCACCAGCTAGTAGCGGGTCTAAGTCCAACAAGAATCGATCTTTATTTTCGATTACTGTATTTTCGGGGTTGTGCATTGTTGTATCAAGTCTACATATATAGGTATGTGGTTTATACGTCCCCAACTGCTGGTTTGGAAGCAACAAACTCGATCATTCAACCAACAACAATGAAACTCTGTTCATGGTAACTGGGGCTTTGGTTTTTGCAACTGGGGCTTTGGTTTTGCAAGATATGATTTGCATGAGCCAAGCCAGGATTGAAAAATACAAGTTATATCCACTGCACGGAGGAGGGATGAAAACTAAAGGTAAAAGGATTAATGGGGATAGATGGACCCAGCGAAAATGGCTGACAGGAGATTCACTATTACTGGTCATCCGATTTGCAGTCTCACGCACCAGTGCCCAAGCTTCCGCCGCCAATTCTAGCCACTGCGCATGCGCCAAATGCGAGCAACCAAATACATTAATCCCTTGTCCTTCCTATCATTCAGATCACAGCAACTACATGCAACATTACATGAGACGCAAGCTTCGACAAACACACGGGCTGTTGGCCCTTGATGTCTTTGATGTCACCAGAGACTCACCTCATCCTTGAAGATAGAGCAACCACATGCAAACATTGTGGACAATTGGCACTTTCGTTTGAATGGACATGGAAATGTCCATTGGCTGCTGCGCCACCCCAATCATGCAGATCATATAAAGGGAGAGCTTTGAAGGGAAGGATCGCGATAATTTCACGCAATAAATCCACTAAAGTACACTAGTAGTAACAAGCAGTAGCCACAAAGAATCAAACCAAGGACCGCCACATTCTATACGCCTTGCAGCCACAAGCGCCCACAAACGCTGTGTCACTAAAAAACATACGAGTATACAGAGCCGCCCTGCATCCCCCCGAATAGCGAGCGCCAAAAACTACAGCAGCTACCATGCACCCATGCCGTCATCACTCCTTCCAACTCAGATCACGGGAACCAGCGCAAAGTCAAAGCGATACTGATTGGGAATCGGCTTGTTGTTAGTTTTGGCGAAAAACAATCATGCGCAGAAGACTTGAGCCGCCATGGATGCAGTGTGGCAGCAGTGTATGACAGATGCAACAGCAAAGTCCTTCGGAGCGTAAATTCCCATAAAAGGAAAAGACCAGTAGGTTAATCAAATCATAGAAAAAATTCAGTCTTAGACCCTGAGACCCTAAGACCAAGGACGGAAGACCAAGGACAAGGAGACCAACGACCAAACATGCGCGCCGAGCAAAGGACCTTGAAACCTGCCATCACACCAATGCGTGCGCTTCACATGCCCTGCGCCAGACGCTCGCTGCCACATTAGGAGTGCACCACATTAGCTACAGCTCGCAGCACCAAAAGTCATTCATTCCTTCATTCATCCTCCTCCTTCCCTCATCAAATCGATTGCGGCAACAAGTGCTCATGACCCTGTGCAAATGTTATCCATCCACTCGCACCTGTAGGCCTTGGCCAACCAGAGGCAATCTTGCATGGTTGTCATTAGGCACGCAATGGACCAGGAACCTAGCTAATGAGGAAAAAATATTAGAGCAGAATGGAACCACTAGATTTTCTGGAGGTACCACAGAAGTTATGCCGCGATAGCGCCAGCAACAATCTGCAAAGGCTATGGTGAGAAATATTTATCTTGCGCAAATTTTGCTAAGCTATGAGCTGTATCAGCCATTGCACGCAGCCTCTTTACAGGTTTGGATATATACTCTTCCCTGAAGGTTCTTTCATGTAGAAAGAAGCTGCTATAAATTAAGAGCTAGCAATGGCATGTACGGCGCCTTCTGAAACCAGTTGGACCATAGGATGCTGGATGCATTGGGATGCCATATTAACAACATCTTTCAGGTAAAAATTATTATGCATTCCCCCCTTTGAAGTGTTTTTCGTTCCACTGCCAATATTGGCTAGCAGCGGTAGGCAGCGGTAGTGGCAACAGACGCGGATTGTAAGAAGCACGGTTTGACGGTTTTGGTCCTTGGTCTTATAAGTTTGGGGGTTATTGTCTGTCATTGTCGCTTTTCCAAACAAGAAGCGGTTCCCCAATGCAACCAACACGAAACAGCAATTCTGCTGCATCGCACACAAAATTTATTAATTACAACCTACAACTAATCCAACGCATTGTCACACTTCTCCCGGGGCATGGGCATGCCAGGGAAAGACTGATAATAGGACTTGTGATTGTGGATGGGAAATGTGCCACAAGGAACACGGACCATGATCTTGATAGCTAGGGGACTGTAGATGGGTGCCATCATGATGATGACGATGACGACAATGGCCATGGTGATGCTGACGGTGACAGCGGACACGAGAGGGAAAATTACATGCAATGATGATGGTGGTGGTGATGAAGATGATGATGATGATGATGATGATGATGATGGTCATGATGATGATGATGATGATGATGATGACAATGGCAGTGACTACCATGAAGTCACCCCAGGGAATGAACCGTGGAACACATGCAATCAGCAGCTACGTAATGCGCTTTAATACAACTTCATCCTAACTTTGACCTGGTATATAGAGATACATAGTGCCAATAAATACCTGTTTATCACCCCTTGGTTCTATATGTTCGCTAAAAACCTATTGTAGTTTTCCATTCGTTAAAGAAAAACAACGGGTAATCCTGTATATTTCAAGTACCCCAGTTCAAGGTCTGCGGTTCTTTGGTTGTTGGTCTTTGGTGTTCGGTCCAATTGCCTGCGCTAGCCTCGCCTGCCAGCGCGCAGCAGCAGCACACAGAGGCTCGTTCCGGACATGTGTAACTACTTCTTGGTTCTCGGTGTTTGGTCTTGGGTCAGAGCATGGATGCTTTCATTTGTGCAAACTACAACATGCAAAAAGCGTTCTGGAAACCGTTCCGGAAAGAAAGCGCGAACCACAAACCACCAGGCTCAAGACTGTGGGAAAATTGCATTCTTTTCATTTGGGAATCAGGAAAAAAAAACTTAAAAAATAGATTCATTGTAAGATCAAAAAACCAAAGCAGAACCTGTGAATAGCTTGGAATTTCCAGCCCCGCATCCCAGTACAGCCCTTGCCTCTGTTTTCCCGCAATGCATTAACTTGTGCAGTTCCGCCTGATAGCTGGAAAGGACCAAGGTCTTAATCAAAAGTGTGCGCCTGACTTTATCCAGGCCCATTTTGGTTTCCGGAGAATTGGCTTGAATTCTTTCTGTGTCTCCCTCCATGAAAATTGTGGCGTGGTAAAGGCCGTGGTCGTGGTCTTGGCCGCAGCAGTGACCCCAAGAAGTCAGAACCAAGTGGCCTAGGTGATTCTGTCCCTGCATCTGGGTCTTCGGCCCCTGGGTCAAAGGTCTCTAGGTCTTCGTCCCAAGTTCTTCAGTCCCAGGTTTTGAAGACCCTCCAGTGGCTGCAGCAGCTCACCGAGGAAACGACAGCAGCTCAGCCCAAGGCCAATGCCAAGGTCAAGGCCAACAGCAAAGCCAAGGCCAAGGCCAAGGCCAAAGTTGCAAGAGCAGCTCGAAACACCAAGGGCACTGTCCCCCAAACAACCCCCAGAAGCTCGCTGTTTTCCTGAAAATGAAGGGGTCGTACCATGAGACCAAATCCAAGCCCATTCCTGGTGACCGGAAGAGGAAAGGAAAGGGCGCCAGTGAAACCCAAGGAGAGCACTGGGGATTCATGCAGCAGAAGATGCCTGAGTTGGCAAAGGAAGGTGTCCAAGGAGGTGAATGCATGAGGTTGGCAGCAAAGGCTTGGAAGGAACGTACTGGCAATGAAGGCAAGAGCAAAGCCACTACCAAAGGCCAAAACCCGCAGAGGGGACGACATGGATCTTGCTTCATGGCGCCACAGAACCTGTGCGCTTGGAGATGCTCACTGTTGACCAAGAGATGATGTTGGAGAATGGCAGGCCGCATGTCTATGTGGAGGCGCCTGGGCACTGATGCCTTCTTGGTTGTTGGTTTCTGGTTTCAGGTCTTTGGTTCATGGTCCAGCCCATTGGTCCTGAAGATTTGAATAGGATCTGAAGTTATCAGCTGATTGTTTGCCAGCAGTCTCAAAGTGTAGGGCTGTGCAAAGTTGGCTTGGGGCACGCTGATTTGTAACTGTGATCATGGCAAAACATTTGTGAGTCACTGGATGGTTGACTGATCGGTCATGGCACGCGCAATCCAGAGAAAAATAATTCGATTCTTGCAAGATGCCCCATTAAGGCAGTAGGATGTTGTGACAGGACTGGATCTGGATTTGAGCCACAATTTGATTGAAGTTTCGAGGTTTGGTCTTTGGTCCTTGCCTTCTCTGGTATTGAAACTGCTTTCAATGTAAGTTGCCTCAGGCCTTGGCTTCTGCACCAAGGTTCAAGGCAATCCAAAGGTGAAAAAGATTCCAGGAGGTAACGTTGTGTTGTATTCCCTGTATGCCTTTCCTATTGTCATGGCGCATATATGGTACTGCATTTCTTCATTCCCGTATGTCTTAATGTTTTTTAAAGCATTTTCCGTATGTCTCAATGCTTTTTTGTATTTCCCGTATGTCTTAATGCTTTTTGTATTTCTCGTATGTCTTAATGCTTTTTGTGCATTTCCCGTATGTCTTAATGCTTTTTTTGCATTTCCCGTGTGTCTTAATGCCTTTTTTGTTTCGGGGCGGCCCGTATGTCTTTAATGCTTTTTGGTTTCGGGGCGACGCCGGGTACCGCGTAGCCCCAAACCTCCCGTATGTCATAATGCAATTTTTTGGCTTTCCAGACCCGTATGTCATAATGCCTTTTGTCAATGGTAGAAATAGAAGTTGCGATGGTTTTCCTTTAAAATAGCCACTTTCCTTTGCCAGCAACCCACAGATTCTTCA